TTCCGGATCTGTCTACACGCCGTCCGGGCCTCCGTCGTCCTGTCTGCTGAGTCCCTCGCAGGTCCCACGGAGGCTGCTCCACCTCAATCACAAAACGGGAATTTGGCCACTCACAACGACTCGCGCAATTCGCTACAACGCTCAAAAAGAAAATTAGGAGGGAGAGGTCGTCGCCCCCCGCGGTGGGGTTTCCGACCTCAAATTTCCCTCCTCGATCGGGCATTCTCGCCCTTGTGACGGACCTCAAAATTGTCACGTCACAAAACATATTAAATCCTAATTCTTAAATATAACAAAAAGATCAATAAATACAAATGTACGTATATATTTTTTTATTCATAATTATATGAAGTACATACCTTCATCGGTTACTTGGGTCTGCGACGTTGCAGTTATTTCAGCAGCTAGAATACAAAAGTTATCTATAATCATTTCTTTTTCACCTGAGATGCAAATTATTCAAATATTTTTCATATTTTCATATTTCGTACAAATATTTTTCATAAAGCAAATGCGAACTATGAAACCAGTTATTTTTTCGCAAAACAAGTTACTTTTAAGTGAATATTGGAAAAAAAATCATCTACCTCTACTCAGATTGCGACCACGTATGCGAGGAGGTCTTCCACGACGTAGAGGTGTTCTTTCAATATTATCCGTTACTAAGACTGAATCGGCAGCCGTCGTTTCTAATAATGCTGTCAATTGAGAGATAAATTGAAAATAAAAAGTATGTAATAAAATCAAGAATACATTACAGAATACATTACAAAACAAAACACATTACATAGCACATAAATTTTGAGGTAAGATTCTCTCTCCCCCTCCCCCTCTCTTTCTCTCTCTCTCGCTCTCTCTCTCGCTCTCTCACAAAGTATCAGGAGAGTTTCTAGTTAGAAGAATGGAATTTACCTGTGGCCGTAACGCTCGTGAAGTCGTTTAAAGAATTATCGTTTACTATTTCTCGTTCTATATCGTTTTGTGAATCTGCAATGTATAACAAATATCTTTTTTTTTTGTTAAATTCAAAAAATATACAGTATATATTGATACATCACTAAATTATTAGAAGAATATAGAATTTACCTGTGATCGAACCGCCCGCAAAGTCATTTAAAAAATTGTCTTCTATTATTTCTCGATCTATATCATTATCTATATTGTTTTGCGAATCTGCAACG